TCACGGATCACGGCCGTCGGCGGAGTGACACCGCGGGGGTGTCCGGGTGAATGTGTCGTTCCGTCCATGCCGTGCCGTTTGGACCGCATCTTGAACGAGGCCGCTCAGCCGTACGACTGGGTTATCATTCTGGGTGGGACGAACGATATCGGCTCGGGTCTCTGGGCTGAAGATCTTCTCCCGTCTCTTCTGGGTCTTCACGACAGAGTCAAGAAGAACGGAAGCACGAGGACCGTGGCCCTGGACCTCCCGCAGTACCTCTACGAACTGACACCGGGGAACGAGACCTACAGGGGGAAGAAGGCCAAGGTGAATGAGGGGCTGAAGGCCTACAGCGAGGGGTCTGGGTGCTCCACTCTGTGGGTGGACCTGTGGAATGGTCTCCCGTTTGGCTCCCTGTCGTCTAGAGGAGAAGGCACTGTACTGGGTGGACGGTCTCCACATGACTCCCAGAGGATATGACAGGATGGCAGGACTCATATTTGACTGTCTAAAACAACACCTTTGACTAATTCATTTTTATGATGTGTGTCTGGCAAAACCAAGCTCAGTTTCTTATTTTCCAGCTTTAGTGCTGCATGTGCAACAATTGGCTACTATGAGGATCATTCCTGTCACACACACACTCGGCCAAACTACTTGAGGGATCGTGGGGATTTTCTTGGTCTGTGCATAGCTTACTCTTGCTCTTGCAAGGAAAATGCATGGTGGACGAGTGCTCCAATCACACAACTGATTACAGTATACAGTGGTGGCAGAAACAGTACCACAACTACTGGCGTTGTAGAGCAAAACGATCTCTGGTATGTAAACACGAAGAGACTCAGAGTAATAAGATGGCAAGCTATAACCATGACTATTTTTTTTTTATAGGCATGTCCTTTTTGGTGTGATTCTCCGTTTTGGTCCAAATGATGTTGTTTGCCACAGCATAATGCATTAAATCTTCTAAAATGCACAGTCTGAAAAACAGGGAGATATTGAAAGCTGTGTCGAAGATTTCCTGCATTTTATGCATATACCAACACTGTGGCGGAGTGGGCGTGTGCGCCTTAAAATGCTGCAAAAGCGCCCAAACGCGCTTCATTATACTTCCGTCTGACGAACCAATGCAAGATGTACTCCGTCTTTCTCATACTCGCCACGTTTTCAACCTCTTGTAAGTTCCCAAACCTAAAATTATAGCTTGAATATTATCTCCTTCTCCAGTGGCTACGATTGATCTAGTGGTAGTGGGAGACAATAATGCTCTGTGTACTGGTGCGAGTGTGACGCTCCAGTGTACGCTGACGGGAAATGTCCTCACCTGGATCACTCCTGGTGGAGCTCTCAACTTTGTTCGAGGGTTTCAGAGCGAGTCAAATGCAGGTTCCTACTATGGCCAGCTCATGGAACTAAATGCTACTCATCTCAGGTCAACACTGAGTTTGACATTCACAACTGAGATTACCATCAACTGCTCTGATACAACTGCAAATAACTCGGCTACTCTCGCTGTAGAAGGTACGACAACATCTATCTAGGGATGAAAAGCTCAGCTTGGAATCTATTAAAAAGCGTATGGTAGCTATAGCTAATCCACGTACCTCGCAAGGTTCTTCATTATCCTTTGCCATTTAGTCACAATGTGTACTACATAATATATAGCTATCGATACTTTCAGTTTACTAAGTCCCACAAAACAACAAAAATGTTTATCGTGGAGTCTATGAGCAATGAGCAATGTATTATACTTGCAGCAACTGGACCACCATTCTACTTATGCATCCTTTAACAAAATAAAATTAATATTTGTAGTGCTAGTTTTCACATTGTAGTGCATCCCTCTACAACACTAGGAATGTTATACAAACAATGATTGTATAGTGAAAGTCGTGTAGCTAGTTGGGGGATTATTTCACATTGTAGCTTCAAAGAGTTGTGAATATCTTATTTGAGTGTGCATTGCGCATGGTCACCATTAATATTTGTAAGCGCAACACATAGCTACTGACTTTCGCTGATGCTATACACCTAGGTCCACCAAGTGCGCCGGATCGACCACTGACGGCCCTGGAAAGGATCACGAGACTCAACAAGACATTCTCCACAGTATCTGTGGTGTGGAACATTCCTGACACCAACAATGCCCACATCAGTAGCTACGTGGTGACAGTTGATCCTCCCATTCCCCTGCCAGCCAGTGGAGTCATTGCTGCAGACGATCCTGTCTTCCAGTCACGACAACTGACCCTCACACTCCTCCATGTCCAGCAGTACTACATCACAGTCACTGCCAGGAGTTGTGGTGATTCTGTGGAAGGTGCTGCTAGCTCTGCACTTGCCATAAAAGTACAAGGTTAGCCTTTGCTTCATGTAAGAAGCACGTTTTCAGGTACACTCGATTTTGTAGTGCCTCCATCTGTGGCAAGATGTACAGCTCTTCCTATCTATGACTATTACTCTAACAACTTAAAAAGAATCGAAATTGAGTGGGATCCAATCCCAGTAAGTTTGCAGTTTGTTGCTGATCATTGATGCTACACATCTTTTGTGCAGGATCTGGGAGAAGACATTACAGCTAGTATCACGGCTAGTGTTCAGGAGTACATAATCAGTGCAATCCCCATTGTAATTGCTGCCCCTGCAATCAATGTGACATTAGGAGCTATTGATCACAGTGTGTGCAGTAGCACGAAATGCAGGCACAATTTTCAGAGGATTGGTGACATGTCGGCACTCCACTACAATGTGAATGTTATTGCAAAGAACCTTCTCTCTGATGGATACAGTGACGGACGGATTTGCAATAACATGACAATCAGTAAGAAATGTACCAGGATGATAAACAGATTTTTTTAACGCACAGTGTACCTCAGTTTCAAATGTTTTGAATAAAGTACACAAGGAAAAGATTAGTTAGATAAACACATGCATGAGTAACATAAAGACCTGTACTTTGAGCAATGCAGTTAGATTTGGTCATAGGTTACCATCTGTATGTGTAAACACCGCACACAAAATTTTATAGTGGATGATTGTGTAGGAACGAGTAATTGACCAACAGAGCAGGATGCATGAGTAAACCTAAAGAATGTATAGTACACGCCTCGTACATTGTACTCATGTGCCTATGTACTTGCAGGTGCTAGAAATGACCTTTTATCAGTAGATGTACGGAAAAACTTTAGTGAGGTTGTTCAGATTTTGTGCCGACCGCTCACGCGATTCGAAGGCACAGCCAGCTGTGAAGTTGTGTACAGGATGATGGTACCTGGGGCAGATAGTTATACTGAGACATCAGACAGAGCTGGAGGAGCAGAGGACATTATTTCTGTACTCCTGACTCCCACTACTGGACCTGGGACGAATCTCTCAGTGGCTGCTGGTACCAGGGGTGGGAAACAAGACGTCGTGGTTGAGGGAACCTTTGGAACAGGTATCCACATGCATATACGCTACACCGCCACTACTGTTCAATTTTACGTAGGTGATATCCTGTCATCAAGGGAGAATCTGATGCGCCACCTCTGTCCAGAGAATAATATGACAGATGCAAGTAAGCTATCATTTTTCATGTAATGCTTGTTATACCGAAAGAGTAGCAACTATTTGAGCCAGCTGCGGATTTGGTTACGTATACATCCGTGGCATTGTGGGAGGTGGGGTTGGGCAATTCCCTGTCCTGAGTATTGCACTGATGATTCCTCTCAAATCTTATACCCTCAACTCAATTTTCAGCTCAAGACTCAACTACAGAGGTACCTACGGCAGTGGACGCATCAACAGAGTCCTGTCCCACTATACCATGGATACTGGCTCCTGGGATCTTCATCGTTACACTACCAACTGGATTCATCGCTGGAATAATCGTGATGATTGTGTGGCGTTCCAAGAGAAAACAAACAGGGACTGGAGGAGAGCAGAACACTACACCGCTGTATGAATACATCACTTCCAAAGACATTACCATGGCGAGAAATGAAAGCTATACAGGACTGTCACCTAGAAACATCTGACAACATTTGGGTTGTTTTTTTGGTTGTTTTTTTGCCACTACATAAACATTACAGCATACATATATTATACATGTAAATAATAACATGCTACATCACGGGCCACCCATGCGGAAACAATAATAGCTCCACGGTTCAACTAACTCGCTATGTTTCTGTGCTCGTAAGTGCATGCACTAACGTGTACCTCAGAGGGGGGGGAAGATATGCAATGATGTGTAGAAAGTGTGAGACATGTTTGTTGGAGTGTCTAGCATTACTATAGTAGGCCATATATAGTTTTTATAGTTAACTATGTACAAGGAGAAGGAAACACCTGGGAATGTGTTGTGCATTTGGTTGCTATACAGTAGCATCCTTCAAATTGTGTTCGAGTCGAGTCTGGTGGAGCTACACCCACGAGCATTGGCAGCAAATGGCGTCGTCCAGTGTCTACCCTGAAGAGCTCCGTGATCTAGCTACAGCAGAGACGTAGGACAGAGAGAAACAATCACTTGATGTCCGTGACACCTCTGTTGACTCAGGAGATGTTCAGTGAAAAAAAAACAGCACTTCACCCGGTTCCCATAAGGAGAAACAAGAAGAAGGAAACGATTGTTGCAATTACGTATAAGTGGATTCTCACGAGGAGAACAAAACACTTGTATAAAACCACTGGGCTTATGCGTACAGCTAGATGTGGGCTTGTGAGACAGATGGTTAGAATATCATTAACTGTTTTCCAACACGTAGCATAACCTACAACCATGCCAAGCCTGTTTTCTGTGTAGTTTACTAGTATCATTCTAGGCCCCTCTGTAGTAAATTTTCCGCCAGCCATGATATTGTTTACTATTCGAGAACAACTGTGTTTCCAATAGTTGTGTATAATAAGGATTGTGTGATGGGGTTGGGGGTGGCAGCGTGCTCAAATCTGTTTGTTAACCATGCTTCATGTATCCCATCCCTATAATATAGCTACCTCTTAAATTCGCAGGAGTTTATAATTTGTTAATAAGCTTTAATTAAAAGTGAGGGGATGAGTAAAATAACAACACATAATTTAATCATATGTGCAAAATATTTGAACTTTTCATGCTCGCTCACCAAAAATGTGTGGCATTCGTTCTAGTATTAGCATCTGAGCTATGTAATTTTGCTTTTGTACAATTAGTCAAGACCAAAAAATAAAACTACTAGCTATATAGCTAACTAGCACTGTTTGACATAACTTACACTACATCAATAATTGGCTCACTTGTAGCTGCTGTTCCATCATATGTTAATCTTAGAAGCCAGCCATGATACTGTTTACTATTCGAGAACAACTATGTTTCCATAGTTGTGTATAATAAGGATCGTGTGAGGTGTCAGCGTGCTCAAATCTGTTCATTAACCATGCTTCATGTATCCCATCCCTATCTTGTTTCCCTTTCTTTTTATACCATCCCTACATGCCTCTTTTTTAAATTCGCAGGATTTTTAATTTGCCTGTAGGCTTTAAGAGTGGGGGGATAAGTAAAGTAAGAACATATAATGTAATCATTTGTGCGAACTCTTCATGCTCGTTTGCCAAAAATGCGTGGCGTTTGTTCTAGTATTAGCATCTGAGCTATGTAATTTTGCTTTTGTACAATTGGTCAAGAGAAAAAATAAAACTACTAGCTAACTAGCACTGTTTGACATAACTCACACTACGTCAATAATTGGCTCACTTGTAGCTGCTGTTCCATCATATGCTAATCTTCGAATGTGAAATTTGCGTTTCCAACCTCCTTGACTATAAATTATTGTGCCATTATGGTGAACAATCACAATCGGGCAGCACTTATTTGACTTGCAATCCTGACAAGAAGTTGGATGGGAGTAATTGAGAATCAACTTGTTTTCTTGATAATGCAGACACAAAATGCGGCCTCCATTTGAATCATCTCTCTCTGTCACATATAAGTATTGGTTATCAGAACATATTCCTCTTAATTCGATTCCAGGTTGGAACTGTTCAGTGGTAAGACCAGTCTTCATTTTCCCACATTTTTTCACTCTAAATTTCATATTTTCAATATCTATATCGAGGATTCCAATAGCAGCTGTAGTGGTAATGAAATACTTGTCATTAAATTTCATAATTCCAATCGGGTTAATATCATCAAATTTCAAGCAAAATTGAAGATTCAGGTCCAAGTCCAAAATGCATACCTTTTGGTTAACGCGTGCGCAAACAAAAACATGTTCATCAGTTACCAAAATTCCATATGCCACACCAAAATGTTCTGCACAGCTCCTATTTGTTTTTCTCACTGGGTTCAGTTCTTGGTCAAACTTTAAAACTTTTGAATTGGTACCAGAACATAAGACGTACAGAAAACCATACTTATCCTCTCCAATTCCACGAACAAATTCCGGTAAGGATACATCGTAAACAAAATTCCCATTGTGTTCACATTTGCGCAGAAACCATTTTTCCCCCTCATTTTTAGTGAGCCATTCAATGTACGAATAGTACATATAATTGTCATCAACAGACAGACCAACAACCCCACTTCGTATTTCAACCTCAACTTCTTCCCTCCTTTTGGAGAATTGGCTTCGCTAAAATAGAAGGTCAAATAATACAATCATTAGGGTAGAAAGCACCAGCAGGTAACGTTTGTTTTGGTTCGGGGAGCCTGCCTACCACCCCAAATAATGAGATATGTACCACCCAAAATAATGAGATATGTAGTAGGGAGAGAGATATTTGAATTATTCCACTGAGAATGGGGGAGATATTATTGGGAAAGCTAGAGAGTGAGTTCCTGAAATATGCAGTGATTAAGGTTCGTGCAGTGAGTTGGGTCTCTGATGTTCGGCATGTTTTAGCTCAGGCGTTTTCCCACAGAGCTATTTCACCGCACTTATTTGCAACTGCTTTATAGCTTATCCTGTACTCGTGTGAAAATTTGTGCACGGTTCACATACAAACAAATGTACGATACCCCCTTTCAATTTTGTCGTTAAAGCCAGCCAAAAAGGGGGTATTTTACAGTAACATTCCTTACACCACTGATAGTCCGAGCATAAAACAGCAAATCAACAGTCTCAAACTTATCATTATGCCTTACCTCAGTCTGTTCCAAATCAATTCCCGGAATGTCCAGAGGTTCAATATTATTATCGTGTAATTCAGGCCAGTCTACCTGTAAATATTAAGCAAGAGTATACCGATTCTTGTTTTCCCCCGTATTCTAGTACCTCTATTACACCACTGATAGTCGAAGCATAAAAGAGCAAATCAACAGTCTCAAAATTATCACTATGCCTTACCTCAGTCTGTTCCAAGTCAACTCCCGGAATGTCCAGAGGTTCATTATCGTGTAATTCAGGCCTGTCTACCTGTAAATAGGTTCAATAATATTATCGTGTAACTCAGGCCCATCTACCTGTAAGTATTAAGCAAGAGTTTACCGATTCCTGTTTTTCCCTGTATTATACTATCTATTGTAAATAATTTATTTGATTGCACCATAACTTTAAATGGCTGCAATATACGTACTAGAATATCAGAGAGTCGGTAGACTCTCTATATAGGGACGACACGGGTG